GACATTCTATTAGACAGTTAAAAAGTGTGTATAAAGATTAATTATCTGAGTTTTAGAGGGAAATATTTAGGTTAGACATTTGGAAATAATTTCTATTCCTAAGGAAAAATATTTGCCAAGAGATGTGACTGAGACAGCATCACTATATGTGTTCAAGAGTAGACAAGATGAAAACCATATGTATTTAATGCAGAAGGAAGTCCTGCAACAGGGCAGGGATAAACTATATGAATTAAGAGATCCTATCCAACTCATTAGACATAAATCTTGAAGGAACTAGCCCTGCAATCCTTACTTAAAGACATGGATGATTCCAGTGGGACCATGTCGATGAGCCAGAGCAAACAAATCAAGAACAAAATGTCCTCTAAGACTTAGAATTGTTTGTAAGAAACCACACTGACAACAGAAAAAAATAGGTAAACAAGCTGAGAAGCTTATTTATCAGAAATGCTTTTGAATTGGACAGAAAACCAATTTAACTCACATTTTCCACATCCATAGGCTTTTGGAAAACTTGAAGTCACGGTTTTTGTTTTTTTACATTTTGTCCTACCCATCACCTACTGCATATTCACAAAGCATTTTTAAGATCACCTTGACAGAAAGCAAACTTTATCAAGACTTTCAAATTTAGGCGTGAAATAATAATAATGTCGTTATTTACATTTGTGATCACTAAGTGGACTATTTTCTTGCTTCTCTGACCTGACTTTGAAAGTTGTGTGCAGATCTTCGTGGACAGAAAGCAAAGTCTCCAAATTCATCACCTCAGCAAAAAGGGTCATTCCTGGGCCATACAGAGTGAACAGATTTCCCCCATGACTCACATGGACTCCCTCACAGGACTACAGGTGCACTCTTATCCCACTTTTCCTATGGGAATGGCATGGACGACAGTGTTCAATGCACATTAAGGCCCAGCTGTATCAGAGTTACTGCTTCTGCTTGGTGCATGTGAAACTGTAAAGAGCCTGACTGTATGTAAGCACCTGCCCAACCAGGTTTTGTAAGTGATGTAGGTTACAACAAAGAACATGTGGACTTTTAAGAAACTGGCCTCAAGTGGGGATGATTGTAGGGAAGGTAAAAATAACATTTGATTCTCACAGGGACAAGTACTTCTTTAATGAATGTTTTGGGAGCCTAAAGATAGTTCCAATGCACACTAAATGACACATTTTATGAGACTCAAATTTTAGCTGGCAACATATTGCAAATCTTTACTGGCCTACCAAGTAGCTGAGATGTTCCTGAAAGGCAGCACAGGCCTCTACAGTACAGGATTAACATTCACAGAAAGGGATCTGCTTGTTCACAGACTTCCCCTGGATTTTCAGATTTACATACCTTCCACACTAGAGAGCTGCAGGCACTTCTACACCTCACTTCTCTGAATCATTCATTTTATGGAACCTTTCTACTTTCTCCAGTAAAAGTATGCAAAGCCAAGTGGATGATTTGCACCCTTTGCCAGGCCAAAAAGATGGTGTAATCTTTCTTTCTGCAAGTATGGCATCAGCTTTTAGAGCACAAGGAAAGACCAGAGAATGGCAGTCTTAGGATAAAGAGTGAAGTATATCATAAGATCCATATTTTAAAAAAAAGGCCATTACCTCTGAATTACAGGACTGGAAGTTGTTTTTGTTCTTTCACTTTCCTTCACACACACACTAACTCTAGCATTGTATTTGCAGAAAAATTTCCAGTTGAAGGCATCAGCTATACCAGAATCAGAACCAAAAGCAGGACTACTTTAAAGTCTGACTCACAGGGTGCTAATATCCCAAGAGAAAGACTGCTCGAATTCTTATTGGCTTAAGACACGCTTGTTTCTTTTGATAGGTATTGATCAATGCCTCCTATTGTTGCTTTTGACTCCCCAGCTGTCCACTTACATTGGGGACTGCATACGACAGCAGGCTGGAACAGCACCGAGACCTACCTCTCCCAAAGAAAATTAAAACGCTTCTCCATCTCTGTTACTGCAGTGTTCATCTGAACCTCCACTGCCTAACACATGTGCATTCAAAGACATTCTTTGAGACCTCTCATCCCAAGTCCTACAGCACACAAACTTTCAAGATAGTAGGTGCAGACAGAATAATGCCCAAGGATTTCAAAGTATCTACAAATGCACTGAATGGGTGAGAAGCAGACTGTATCAAGAGAAGGAAAAGAATCTGTCAAGCCCTGAAAAAGTGTGGAGCTGGAATCACAAGGATCGACTCCTACAGCTAAACCCTGAGTTTTTAGCACGGCAGAAGAAAAGGCAAATGGAGCCATAAAGAAGTGAGAATGCAATACAGCAATTCACAAGAACAACAGAGTTCCTAACAGAATTAGGAAAAAAAAGAACAAAGAAAAAAACCCACAATTTAATATGGCTGTGGATATCCCTCTCTTGTGCTTCAAACTGCTTAGTCTTTCACTACTTCAACACACTTAAAAGAGATTTCCACAATCTACTGCACCTGTAAGTAATGCCAGCTCCTTAACATGTGACATCCTTTTTAGTCATTGTTAGGGGGAAATGGAGTGGCCACTTTCATCCCTGCCACTGCACTTTTCCATAGTATTCAGGATAGGAACACACACTCTGTAAGGTTCTTTCAAGCACAGTGCATGTTGTCTCCTGGTAATGGCAAAATGGTTGTTGTCTTATTTATGAAAATGAGTACTGAGTGACTCAACATCTTTTATATGTAACAGCAGCAACCTTATGTCCCCAAAAGACACAACAGATGCTGTGCCATACACTGAAACTATACAGAGACCAAAGAATGGAGTAAGCAAATTCAAATGGACATTATTGATACAGGGGTCCCTAGTCTTGGTAAGGCTTATAGGGCCATATCATCCTCAAGTCCTTTCTATTAAAGCCTTTCTGTAGCCATAGAGGTAAGAAGTTGAATAGATGCTGCCATGGCTATGAAGCACATGGCAGAGCAAGCTATGTGTAATGTTTCTCACTGGTCTTTTATTTGCTCTGTAAAGTTACATGGGACACACACAGACTGACTAAATTCTGAAAGAGAATTGGTGGCAAAGGAGTTGGATACCATTTGGGGATCCAAGTTCAAGTTGCACTCCAGATCATTACCTACGTAGCTTGAGGTGCTGCTCTGAATTTTGCAGCACAAAGTCCCAAAGTACTTTCAGACTGAGAAATCAAACATAAAAGAAAACCTTAGACCTTGCCCTTGAGACTACTGATGGGGCTGATGCTGACACAAACACAGGTGCATCCTATGGCTGTTTGGTACTGGTAAAACCAGTAGTAAGACAGGGAAGGAGAAAAATAGCATGTAAGCTGTAAAGAACATGGCTTCAGTCTTGATTTTGTATCAAACCTTGCACAATACCATTGCAGAGCAAAGCTGCAGCAGAATACTCAACCAATATAAGTAAAATCTTGGCAGTTTATGCATACAAGTGCATTAAAATAGACTGAATCAAGGAATATTGTTTTCTCTTTTGAAGTTCCTTTTTTGGGGTTTTTTTGTTGTTGTTTTTTGTTGTGTTTTTTTTTTAATTGAACAGGCTAAGAATGCTGCACTTACAAAACTCTTGGGAATATGACAGCGTGCTGGCTTCACTTAAGCAAGCTGCAGGAGGACATTTCTAAAACACACAAGCCAAGAAAGGGCATGGTAGGTTGCCATTCCCTCAGACATTACAACAAAGTTTATTTATGCAGAATCAAAGGAAATGTCAGTGGAGAGCACAACAATGAAAATGATGACTGAGCTTGACTTCTGACCTTTCTGTTTTTTCTGTCTCTGACCTCTCCACTTTAACAAAGTTCAAACTCAGCCTATGGTATGGCAACAGGCCTTCATCCTGCAACATTCTGAGTGGACTCAGCATTCTGAGGTACTGCTGGGCTGTGTTAAGCAGATTATATGATCAAATCCTGATTTAGGTAACATCTGTGATAGAAAGATGTCCAAGTTGTTAGTCATTAGCTGCTGAAAAGGAGGAATTGTTATTACTATTATCCCCTTTTTATGTCAAGCTGATGGTGTCTTGTTTCTCAAACCTGTTAATCGTCTGTTGTCATATAAGAAACTCTGTGACTTTAAGCAGATATCATGGTGCTGACCCAACTTGTCTGTGCTTTCAAAACAGTGTGAATACCTTACTTAGAAGGTAAAAATATTTTTGCTTGGCCAACCTATGTTTAACATTAGAGGTTGACAGTAAGCATGCATTCAAATTTGGAACACAAAATAGCAAACACACTGCTTTAGACAGTAGTGCCAAGTATGAAATCACAATGAATGAATAACTTCTATTATACCTGCAGGAACAGATAATTCACATCATGAGTATATGCCAAGAAGGGGAAAAGGTGCTTGCCACAAATATAATATTTTGAGTACATTGAAATGCTATATACTAGAGAAACCTTTAAAAGCAGCACTGAATTTGATGCAAAAATAAAAGTATTAGGTGCACACAAACAATCTGTGGTATGTGTGGTAAAACACATCAGCATGAGACAAACAGTACATCAGATGAATTACTTTGCAAACACAGTTTTACCATATTGTCTCCAAAAGTACTATGTGTGAAAGAAAACAGAAATGGTCATTGGCTATCTTTTTGCATACATCAGGACAGTGACTTTCAGTGTACTCCACAAAAGCAATGGGGCTACTAATGATTAGCACTTTAAACACATGCAAACACGTGTTGTGATCCCATACTATTCTTCACGCCAACAGCAGTTAACTCATAACTTCATCTACTTGTGTTCCAGAAGCTTCACTGGGACTACTGATGGAAATGAAAATTCAACAGGGCAAGTAAGAAGTTACAGAGTTCAACTGTTGCTTGCTCAAGTTAATGCAACTTCATAAATGTAAGGAAAGAACATTTTAGTAAGCAGTAACAGTTAAAAATAATTTGTCTACTTAACCCTCACAGTTTGTTTAAGAAAATGAAATCACTGTCTTAGAGTCTGCTTTACTCTGAAATAAACAAAATTCACTTACCATGTATTCCATGTTGGAAGCAGGTGGGAAGACTTTGCCTCTGACTTGATTATGATAATCAAGAATGGCAATCATGTCATTCTGTGAAATGTAGCGCTTCCGCCTGGCTTTGGGAATTTTCGCAGAGTCCAGATGAGCTGCCAAAGCTGTCTCAATGTCAGTGAAATTATTGTCTGACAGGAGTAGGTCAGTGGAGTTGGGTAACACTAACGCACTTGTTTCACAGAGAATGCAAAATAAGAAAGCACAACTGATTGCAGCAATTACTGTCATTTTGATGCCAAAGGAGAAAGATAGGCCACAGAGGTACTCTGCTTTAAGTCAGGGCGGTAGAAAATGATCTGTAGAAAATAAGATGGCAAAGATGTGATTCTGTATATATGGGTAGCAAAATGAACTGGCAGGCTGTGATCAGAAAAACAATTCTGTCAGTTCAATCATAAAAACAATACAGTCAGAACACATGTTCCTGAGCAATTTTCAATAACCATACTAAGTGATAATAGGTTCTTACTACAAACACACTAAGTGAAGTATCATTACACCATCATGATCAGAGCTAGCAATATTCCTGGAATAGTGACAGTGCTCTCACACCAGACCAGTCCACAAACCACACTATAAATCTTAAATGGGGAGACTGCAAGAAACCTCATAGAATGTTTTCCACATAAAATGCAAAATACATCCTAGGCTATGCCTGTCAAATATGCATGTACTGTTTTGGCACACTGTGGCACAGATAAACTAGTAGGCAAAAAACACATAAAGCATGAAAGCAGGACATCTTAGAATAAGCATTCAAATCTTAACTTCAGCAAAATGTGATGAGCACTGATAAAACTGCATGCAAAGCAAACTTATTTAGCTGAATGGCTTACCTCTGGATAATATCAAGAAAAAAAAAGAACAGTCTATTGTTCTCCCAGTATATATAGCACTCCCCTAAATGATGATATGACCCTTTGTGAAGGAGTGTCTCTTACTACAAACCCCAAAGAGCAAAACTCTGCTGGTTTTAAAGCTTCTGGCCACAGGAGCTGCTAACAGCTTTTATATGTTACAGTCTGCATGAGCCAAAACAGGCAGTTTCTCCAAAGGTCTCTGCTTAGCCAAAACGAGAGGGGAGGAGTTCTGCAGAGCACACAGGCAGCGATTGGGTGGCATCCCTGGAGTGTAGGTGGTTTGGATATTCAGTCACACCCCCAGTTTCTATAGTACAAAGAGGCAACATGCAAGACTCTTTTTTCTGTACTTCCTACCTTTTTTTTTCCCTCCTCCTCGTTTGGTTTTTTGCCCTCATTGCACGAGCATCATGGCTTGGCAAACGTTATTTCGCGCAGCTCTTCGAGCACCCAAGGAGCAGCACGAAGCGCAGAGTTTGCAAACTGCTTGTCCCCCCCAGTCACAGGAAACGGAACCAATGCAACGCCGTCCGCCCTGTCCCGTCCCTGCTCGGGGGGCAGTCCGCCTAAGCCGTGCCTGGCAGAGGGAGGGCGGGCGAACGGCGGGGTGGGGTTG